AAATTAAATCTACAAATCACAGTTCATATTTTGGTCACCCAACTCCTATTATTTAAAAATTTTTAAATAAGTGATAATTCTGTTAAACTAATTGTCAATATATATTTTAGTTATTGATATTAAATATACATTAAAATTTTTGTGTAGACTCGATAAATAATAGCATTTTTGTTTTTATTATGTCCACATTTAAAAAAAAATAAATTTTAATCAAACTACATGATACTAATTTAATTACGAGTATTAAAACTAAAGTCCTGAAAGTTTCGGTGAAGATGAGGACAGAACATCTGCCTTCCATGCGAAAAGCCCGGGATCGAATCTAGGCCGAGGACTAATTAATTTTTCATGTTTATTTTATTTTATAAATTAGTCAACTTCGTAAATTATTTTAAAATTAGTTATTTTGTCTAAATAACCTAAAATAATTTTTTAAATTTGTAGATTTTCGTTAGTGGGTCGTAGAAAAAATATACTGACCATATCGAGTGGATTGTTCATATCACAATCAGACGATTGAGTACTCCGCCTACGACGTCGTGCTCAAACTTCGTCTTTGTGTGATATGGCTATCATATCCACCCTTGTTGAACAAACTACAATTTATTTGTTTTCTTGGTTTAAGTTTTACATCAGAAATAAGAACTAAATTAATTTACTTTTCAAGTTTTCTTGTAAAAATCGATATTACTTTCTCCAAGTACAAATTTAGTACCTACCTAAAATAAGTACTAATTATGTAATATCGTGTAATATTGTAATTCAAATTTCACATTACTATAAAGTTTCAAAATTCCCTACTTCGGTATGGTCAGATAAAAATTGAATATATTATATTAATAAAAACTGTTAAAGTATTACTTCTACAAATCTGTATTTCAATTAATAAGAATACATCTAAATATAACCAATATTGTTAAAATGAAAGCACAAATTCTTTATAATTCCAAAATACCATAGAGTTCCCAGACCTCAGTCGAAGCATTCGTTTATCTAGGTATAAACCCTTTGCGCGAAGAGTAACACTTGCCAGAGACACGGGGTACCACTTGATTTGCATCCACGAGCGTGACACATTTCTTTAACAATTGAAGCCCTTGGTGTAAAAAGGATCCAAGTCACAATTTGTCGTGAAGTGACTGTTTTAGCTCAAAACATTTGTTAACGAGGATTTTACTAGCCACATACAAATTATTTTACCTCTAATCCGAAAGATGTGCTATTTTTCGTAATATTTATATTTAAATAATTTTTTTAATTATATTTGACAGATTTAAAACAAATTAAAAATTTAATTTCCCAAAACTTACTTAACATGGCATGTAACCAACCTTATTACGTCAAGGTTTTCAATTTTTTCAATAATAAAAAAATTGCTTAATCCGGGCCCGACTTTTCCCTTTAATCTAACAGAGATAGCACCATTCCGTCTTGCTTGGTTCTCGACCGCCAGATCAAAGACGCCGACACGGAGTTGTGGAGCTGTATTGTATAAGCTGTGATGAAACTATGGAAACCAACAATAAATGTTTTTGTATACGTATTGCTGGCAAATAATTAATATTCCTCAAAAAATCGTACATGGCAAGAATCGAGTATTTTTGTTAAAAGTCTCGATTAGAGGTGTTGAAGAAGATATGAAAAAAGTACATTTTTATGTTTTTCATCGTATAAAATTTTGTCCGATAATAACACATAGGCGTAGAACTTGATTTTTTAAATAATTGCAGAAAAGGAGTTTGAGTATGAAATTTGGATTGGGTACTCATTTACTACAAAAAAGTACCCTTGATAACACTCGATTTACTCTCATGGTTTTGACAAAGTTTGTATTTTAATAATTATTGTTTATGTTCTAAAATTACTAAAATGCAAATTTCGTCAAAACCATGAGAGTAATCGAGTCTTATCAAAAGTACTTTTTTTAAAGTAAATGAGTTGCGCAATCTAAATTTCATATTCAAACTCCTTTTCTTCCATTGGCGTAGAATTTTTAAAGGTGCAATTATTTAAAAAATCAAGTTCTACGCCTATGTATTATTATCGGACAAAATTTTAATACCATTTTTTTGCCACATAAAACTCTACCAATATACCAAATTTCAGCAAAATCGCATATGCCGTTTTAAATTTATATGGGAAAACGATTTAAAAATTGTAACTTCAAGGCCCTCTGGAGCCCAAACAAAGCAACTTTGTACTAAGGTAATTTTACTTAAATCGACTTATTTTGGTCTAAGGAATATGTGGTATGTTTTTGTAAAGACCTTTTACAGACACCCTGTATATATATTATTTTTAGCTTTATCTTTTAAAACAATACTTTTGTCATAATTGAAAATATTCTTTGTTTGGAAGCATTTTATTAGGCATCCGTAAATTGTGATATTAACAATAGTAATGAAATTCCATTTATGTGACACCTATTAAAGACATTTCCGACACAATGAATAATATACAGTACAGTGATATATTTTTATATTAACAATTAACTCTCTCATGGCCGATATATCAAAAAGTAATAAAGATATTTTAATTCTATGAACGATGTTCAATTTAATTTAATTACAAAATTGGGGAGTCAAGGAACTTTGAACAGAAAAAAAATCAGATAGGATTTCTATGGATGGTTTAAGTAAGGTAGAGCGTTTGTATTTGACCAGGCTTTTAAATTAAATAAAAATTACCAATAAATGTAGCGTTTCAAGCAAGACAAATATGTAGTTATAAAAAATGTGACACTATAAAGAACAAATAACATGTAGTATATAAAATATCTCAAATATGAAGATTATTTTTGTGGTAATTTTAAATTTTACTTGCAATGATTATTAGAAGCAATTTGAAATGTTACTATTAAATGTATAAAGAATTTTTATTTCTTGTCTTGCAGGAAAATCTACTCCTTACATCTAGTAAAACGTATAAAAGCTACCTAAATTGGGTTGGTTAGTTACAATAAAATTTAGATATTTACAATTTTGGTTGACATCTTCATATATGATAACAGATCTCTTACAATTTATCGTTGGTACCACTCATTAATTGATCAAAATAGACAAGTGTTGTTGAAAAAGGACAGTAACAGTAATATTGAGCTTCTTAACGACCCTATAAACTTATCAGAAACTTTTCTGATTAGTTAATACACCTAAAATATTATCTTGTCCTAAAATTGGTATAACACATCAATGCATTTAAACAATAGAATTCAGTACCTTTTTTCGCACTGATACCATAAAATACAAAAGTTTTTAACAGGTAGAATCGCACCCTGGTACTGTTCTGGAACTTACTTTAGATATTTTGAAGATTATTATTGTGAATAAAAAATTTAATTTTTGAGATAGGGAAATTATGTTACCTGGGTCGAGACCATTTACTAAATTGCTAACAAATTTCTCCAAAAACGCTCATATTATACTCACAAAAACTTTAAAATGCTTATATATGTTTCTTAAATAAAAAAAACTTTTATACAAATTTTGAATGCATAATGCATGCTAAAAATGTCGCTTTTTAAATAAAATATAGACATTATCCTTAATTATAATAATCTCTTTTTTGAGCCATACAATCAACAATTTAAGTCATCGATCATCCTCCACCTATATATATTTTTTAGTAGCAATTTAACCATACATTTATTTTGTCTGTACTTTATTCAAAACATATTTTGAATGTGTTTACAGCAAAAATTCGACTTCATAAGAACGAATCATGTACAACGAACGACCATGAATCATGAAGGTATAGTTTTCATTAATAAACTCTTTCTTATTTTCGCAAAATATGGTTGGTTGCGATCTATGCGTGCTAGTCAATTGCTCACAAAATCCTCATAATCTGTCATTCATCCTCATTCCTTTAAATTCTTAAAAATGTGAGCAATTGCTCAATAATTGGCAATCGTGCATGTCGCATATACGAGGGTGGTTTGACGGAAGAGTGACTTTTCAGAGGTTGGCAATACTTTCGCTACGGTGATTATATTGGTAGTTTCCGCCATGTTCCTGATGTCATCTGTCAAAATTTCACATAAATCTGACAGATAGATTAGTGTTAATACTCCTATAAAGAAAACTTTTGTTCCATCACGACAATGCGCCTGTCCATTTGTCCGCTATTTTTGCAGAAAAATTACCCTAACTGCGTTATGATTTATTGCCTCATTCGCCATATTCACCTGATCTGGCTCCCTCCGATTAATTTCTGTTCCCAAACTTAAAAAAAATGGCTGGGTGAAAAGCGATTTCAGGCAAATGAAGAGGTGATGGCAGAGACAAACGCGTATCTTGCGGAACTTCCTAAAGATCATTTTTTGGATGGTTTGAAACAATTGAAAACTCGCTGGGCTAAGTGTGTAGAATTAAAAAGTGTTTATTTTGAAAAATAAAATATTGTAACTTTTTCATTGAAAAGTCACTCTTCCGTCAAACCACCCTCGTAGAGTTTGCAACATGTATTTGTTTATACACAAAACAAGTTGACATGACAACGATGTTAGATGTCACATATCCATTCAGTATTAAAAAAAAACTAAAAAAGATTTTTCTCAAAAAATGATTACAAAATTGTTGAATTTAAAATTCGTGCATAAACGAATTTTAGTCTGAAAATATTTTTTTTCTCTGCTGTTTTTCGATATAATCCCTGCATTTAGTTCACTACAGTAAGTAATTACTACATATACCAATTAATCACTAAAAATTATTCGAGCGTTTGTAAAAACTATCTGTTGCTTCTTAGTGCTTTTGGTCTAAAAGTATTGTACAATTTCTGAATGTACTGAAACCTTTATTAAATTTTTAAAGGAAGCATAATTTAAGATAATTTCAACGTAAACAATGCAATAAGGTACAAACCTAGCCACATTTAAAAATTTGATTTTACGACTATAACCCTATTGACACAGCCATTGTCATGGTTATTTTAGTTTGTCTAGCAAAATCTTCAATGGCTAGAATAAAGATATAAGGCTAATTTTAGAATAAACTCACCCTCGCCAGTTCTCTCCAGTCCAGTAGCAGAAGTAGCACGCTTTTTACTTCCTGTATCCAAATCTCTTTCGGACTGCCTCCGTGTGAGCGCGGAAGAATTATTAACGGAAGTAATAATATTTTGAATGGACGTAGCTCGTCTGGCGCCCCAATATGATACGCTCATTTCACTGGGATCTAACAATCGAGGCGTCGATGATCCAAACGCAAACACAGCGCTACTCCTCTCGTTCTTCCTCCTCGATTCGATACGTTGCTCTCGCTCTTGGTTCCTCTTTAAGATGAACTGTAGTCTATCTCGTTCCGCATCGTTTATTGCTCTTTTTCGCTCTTCTACTTGATGACGTTTCTCGTCGTCTCTAACCCTCAATTCATCTATTCGTCGACGCCTTTCCTGTTCTTTCTGTTCCTTAAAAATTTGTGCAGCAAGCGCTTGTGCCTTGATTTCCTCCAGTTTCCTCTGCCTTTCTTCATTTTGTCGCTCTTTCACGCTACGTAACCGCGTATCTTTGTCAACTGTAACAAAAATACATAATTGTTAATTTTTAATCGAAATTGTCAAGGTTTTCTTTAAAGATAATATGAAGGGTAAATTATTACTGAAATAGGTACACATCTGGCCGGAATTCCTTCCGAAGACCCAGAATTCCTACAAAAGTTACGAAATACTCTTAGACATTGACGAAACTAAAGATGAAACTATCTTGGAACACTTAGAAAATTTAAAGTTATCAAATTCTAGCGAAGATAACTCTGTAAATCAAACAATCAAAAAAGTGTGTAATCCTGTGTCAAAACAAAAAAATGCAGTCTTTTATTATTGATCAATTTATTGAAATTGGTGACCAAATTAGACGATAGAGGTGATGTTGATGTGATAATGTTGATGATGATGATAGTATTAACAATCATAATAACTTTGAATGCATAGTGTTGCATATTTATGAACTAGTCTTTGATAACTCTATACAAATTTGTAATAATATATAGGGTGTTCTATTAAAAAAAAATATGTTAAGTGCGCCATCCTTTATAAACTGTAAGGGTGATTTAATATGTATCACTTTTCTCCAAAGGTTTTTCGTAGCTGCTATAGTTTTCTATATAAGGTAATATAAATTGCTATGTGAACAGCCTCTACATTTCTTTTATACACCTGAAGCCTTATACACATTATATTTGTACAAGTAAAATTTAAAATCTAATCACACATTAATAAATTCACTTTATTTTACAATTATGTAGTTCCTTCATTTTAAAGCAACTTATCGTTTTATTATATACCTATATTCTTATTTTTTTTTAGTGTTGGTTCAAAATTTCAAATTTTTTAAATTTTTTATGTAGTGCTATAATTCTTTATGTAGTGCGGAATTTCCTCAGAATCCCGAAATTTCTTTGCCAATCCTGGAAGCACTCCGGAATTTCTGTTTACACAATTTCTCTAATAAATTTACTCCTCGAGATAATACATCAAAAATATACGCATAGAGTTTAGTCATCACTTTAATTACCATGATGTTAACGTATGATTAATGCAAAAATCTAAATATTTCATAATTATTTCATAATTAGTATGTTTTACTACCATAAGTGGCTGTTTTTAGTTTATTAATGAAAATAAAATACGTAGATAAACCATGCAAAGTCGATTTTTTACAATTTCATGTAAATTCTAAGGTACTAAGGTCAAAATGAATATAAATACCTACCAATTGAATTTGGTACAATTAAAACAAGATTAAACATTTCCTAATAATTTTTTATTCTTCCTTCTTAGAAAGTCATTTTTTTAGTTCTTATAAGCTTCAGAATGGGACTAACTTATTCGTTATACTGTATATTATATTTACATTTAAGACTTATTCAGTTTAAAGACTACATAGCAATTTGATTGGCCCAGATGGAACATCGCGTCTGATTTTTCATAGCTTACCTACTTTGTAACAAACTGTATTATTAGGTAGCACTCCCAGTATGGAAAGTGAATACTGTTATTTTAATATTTCTGTGGACAATAATCACCTGATGATGGGTGTATGATTACGGATTTTTTAACACATCATGTCTTTAGTATTGTTTGAATTAATTAAAAGTTGTTATCACTATTATTGTACATAAAAAAATGTAAAGCAAAAAATTGGCAAGGAGTGACGATGTTTTTAATATAAAAAGAGTCCTTAATTTAATTATATCTCCCATTACTGTAACCTACCGCACCCATTATTAAATATAAGACATTCTTATTAAATTCAAAATCCTACATTTAAATAAAAATCTCACAGACAATTAAATCTTATTTACGATACCTAATAAATAATATCTATAACCACGTCCGTAAGAGATCCAATTTTCGTGCAAGTGTCTGAGAACCCAGCCCAAGAAACACTTATCTTAAGTGAGTTTGAATAGTAACGTTGTTTTCGATACACAAAATTTTCAAGGCAAGTAATAAATCAGCCACCCTCTTTCCACCCAGATTCGTTTTTCGCTGGGAACTAAGACACACAAAGACGTCACAAAAAGCCATTAAAACTGGTATAAGAACCCAGACCCAAATGAGCTCGGATGCATTCATTTTTTGTTATTTGATGTGCAAGCATTCATTTTATTATTTTACATTTAAGCAATCACTTTATTATTTGTATCCAGTTATAAAGTCTGTACCTTTCCTAAAACGCTCTGCCTAAACGACGTCTATCCTACAATACCTCCTATCCCCGAAGGTGTCAACGTCTCGACGCCCAACGTCCTGCCGTCTACGCTATCACTTCTATTATCACTTTAGTATTTTCTACTATTATATTCACCCCGACTCTTAACGTCCAGACGCCCTACTTCCCTACCTTTCTACGTTTCGAACGCTGTCACATTCCGCACCATCTAAGTATTTCCTACCTTACATTCATTCCGACGCCCAACGTCCCATCGCTCTACTTCTCGACGATTACCACCCCTAAATATTTCCTTCATAATATCCTTGCACCACCTAAATATTTCTACCGTATATCTGTCCCAATACAGTACCGGATTAAAAACGTTCCTCTCCACCACGACGCTAGGCGATGCTCAACGCTACGACGTACCTAAATCGATGCCGTCACATCGCTAGATGAAATTAGTACATAATCTAATGTCTGTATTTTCAATGGTGAGTCAAATGATTCATGTAACTTTTTTTGAGATACTACCGGGATCGTTTAGATGAGGGCCTGACATTTGCTTCAAAATATTATCAATGTAACCAATAAACCATATTGCCTTCAGTCGTTCACCTCGAAAGGCATATACATCTGTTTTCGATAGGTGAATTTAAGATAATTCAATAGAAATTATAATAAATCAAAATTAAGAAATATACAGGGTTGAATCTAAGTTAATTCAATTGAAATTATAAAAAGTAATATTAAAAATATACAGGGTTGTATTAAGTTATTTCAATAGAAATTATAATAATATTAAAAAATAAACAGGGATGTATTATCATGGATAAATTGTTCAAACCGAGATGGTAAAATTTAACAGTAAGTTAACCAACTGGTTAATATACTGTTCGTTAGTTCAAGGGGGGACTCCCATATGCTAAGCCACCCATTCTACAAGGTTTGAAACAAAGTATATGTGTATTCGTTACTTCCGTTCGTCAATACCTCTATACTCGTCGAAATATTTACATAAGAGGGTACAACCTATGTATATCTTGAATAGAATCAAATCAACACAGTAGTTAACCAACTGGCGAATTGGCGCTGTTCGTTAACTCCGTTGGCCATCAAACTAAATAAGAATATATATTGATAGCAAATGAACGTGGTCTGTGTTTGAACGGGACTCAAGTGGGATCTCAGTAAATAGTAACAATTGTAATATACTTTGCTAATTATTGCATCACATTTAAAGTATGAAAAATAAAAGAGTTTAAATATAAATTTGTCTGGTTTAATTTATCAATTTGTACCAAACTTATTTGCATCGAATCCTGGTTCACAACGTGGGTATAAAAATTATCAATTAATTAACTAGACGATCACTTCTACTACTAGAGGAAAAAGGCCAAATACAGTAAGCATAGAATTTAAAGTAAAATAAACTTGTGAGGTAAATAATAACATTTCAGAGAGTAAAACAACGATCAAAAATGGGGTACCGGGGGTAGGCAGTTACATTAGTTTTCTGCCATATACATCTTTTGATTAGAGCATTAAGACAAATATTAAAAATTACAGACCAGTTACCTAATCAAACAGATTTTCTAAAATATTTGAGTATGCAGTCCAAAACAGATTAATATAATTTTCAAATAACCAACATAGCTTTAGATCTCCTAGATGTCTACTACCACGGCATTGTTTTCCTTTTAAGAAAAACATATTGAATATATTGATATCCTCTTGTGATTTTTGTGACCCCACCAAAGCATTTGACTAAATTAATTAAAATTGTATGGCTGTTTTGAAATATGTACTACCAATTTCATTATGTAGTGCATAGTTATCTTTAGGATAAATGCGTCAATAGAATTTTTAGAACCGGTATAACTTATTTCTAATTTAAATACCTAAAAAATAAAAGAGTCGAATCCCAGATTTAGTTTCGTTTAAATCGGAGATTTTTGACTAAAAATAGGTTTGTCATCACAAACAAATGAATGCAGGGCAGTGAACATTCAAATATTCTCCAAAGAATGTCATTTTGTATCTAATTATAGCAATGTATAACTTTACACGTGTACTCCACTAGTATGCACTTCCAAGATGAAAATAATAATACACATATGCATGAAGCATGTAAAAGAATACCTGCGTTTCTTTGTAATAGTAATATAATATTAAATAACGAATTTATGAAGTAGAACAGAAGAGAGTAACATAAGTAGTGAGTTTTTCTTGTTTGGCATTACGTTAAAATAAAACAAGTAATTGATTTTCTCAATTTATAACATTAAAATGTAATAAGAATATATAAATTTGAGAAATCTCGCCGAATTAGGAAAATATAGAATTCTTCCCGAGAGACCTAGAGAGGTAGGTAGAAAAAGCTGAACATTTAATTGTTTCTAGAATTTTAGTTGGGTAGTTTAGACTTTACTTGTTGTTGGATACAGCTTCGATAAAGTACATACATTCGAATTTACCATTATACTTTCATACCGTAAAAATATGTACTCTTCAATATTCCTGAGTAAAGAAAAATTATTTATGTTCTAAACACTATTACTATTATAGCCATCTGGTATTCATCAATGAGGTTGTTTATAAAACAGGTGTTTCCGATGTTTACTATAGCTTAATGATTCGATTCATAAATTGTTAGTTTCGTATTATACTTTGCCAAGATAAATTAATAATAAATAGTTAAGCACCTATTGTTTTAATAGTTTTTAGATTTATTATTTATCCAGTTACGCTTAAGAATTATAACACGCAGTAGAGCAAAGTGGGGCAAATATTTGTTATACATGGCTGATGGTTCATGTTCATCTCATGGCTAACAATGTGCAGCACACTACAGTTTTT